CCTGTTGTAATTGCCATTGGGTGTGGTCACAAAAGACATGTAGCAGTTGAAAACCAGCAGAAATCTTGTTGGAACTGGCACATAATAGACCCATGTCCTGGAATCAATTTGGTGGCTCTAACAGAAATTCAGAAGTCAATATTCACACGCAATCTAGATTGGAATAAAATCACCATAAGAAGGCTATGTGGATTGATAATCAGTCCAGATTTCAAACACATCCAATCAGTCATGCCTTTATGTGATGGACTGGTTGATCAAACAAGTTTTTTCCATCTCTAGTTTATCTTATTCTGTGACACAGGACTCTTTGGCCCACAGAGGACCACAAATGGGTATACAAACTTCTTAATGATTTGTCACTAACATGTACTGCCAACTAAGACAGGCTTAGCTTACGGTCCCTTTTTCCTAGAAAATTACTCTTTCTACAGATAACATGCATCATAAATAACTGTGTACTAGGCTTCCTCCTCTGTTAGCAAACACCACAATCCCCTTTTTCATCCATAGCCAAATCTTATGTTACTTGAAAGTCTATTGCTTTTCAGTCTCCTGAAACTGGCATGACATCATATAACTGCATTTCCCACACCTAAGACTCTGCACCCATATTTTTCATGCATCTTTGTTACTTAGCTTCCCTATGTATGATGCATTGTATGAGAGCATATCACCCTCAATCACTGCATGGGGCTCAATGCATCTGTGTGAACCAACAAATTAATACAACATTTTCATTGTATAATAATTCTCTCATAACAAAAAACATTTAAATTCTGTCGTACCTCAATATCAGGTTTATAAAATCACCTGATTGCTACTACTCTCCTATAACATTCCCCCATCCTACACACACACCCTGAGTTGGCATCCATTCCAAAAATGGGATTACAAGGTGAGTGTACAGCTGACACAATCAAATTTACTGTATAAAGAAAGACAAAACTTCAGCCTCTGGAGTAAAATACTTACTTTGTAATCATGACTTAAGTTAAATGAAATACCATCACCTGAATGGAGTAAGACGCACTATGAATCAGCGAGTAGTAAGTCTCTCTAATGATTGAAAGTAAAACTGATTGTATCTCTAGAAGTAAAGGATAGGTACGTGTGTAGTGTTTTGTAAACTTATTTGTAAGGAGGATTATTTATTTTATTTATTTGAGATTGTGCTATTTGTCTTGGTCTACTACATGTAAGTGGTAATGTGACATAAAAAGGGTACATGGATTCCCAGTGTGTAAAAAAAATTTCTTTACAAGGTACAGCTCTTGGAAATGTTTCAGTTTATAAATATTCTGAGAAAAAACAAATGTATGCAACTCTGATAGTAGAAATATTAGGTAAATATAAAATGAATAATCACTGTAGGTAATGATATATACTTTTTTCTTAATCACTTTTTTATTTTACAAACAAAATATTTAAGGAATGAGATAATATAATAAATACATATAGAAAGCATTTTTATAATTTAAGGGGAATTGCATTATTCATGAGTGGAAGAAAATAAAATTTAGACTTTTTCTCCCCACACTTGAGTCAATGTATTTTATTTATAAAACACTTGTGGATTGTGCTTTACTATTTATTTCAAATATGTAGTACATACAACTGATATATTACCATTTTCATGTACATCATTATGAAGGCATCAAGATGTTTTCACTTATTCTGAATTAAATGAAATTCATATAATTAACATATATTCTAAATATGTGTAGTCTATATAGATGCAACAGATGGGATTTTGAAATTCCAACAATATTTACATAACCCTGCTAATTAAACTAAAGTGTAGATTTAACAGAGTTCATGTTTAATGTTACAGACAGTCTAATAGGGCTTTTGGTGTCACAGAATATTCACTGGATTATAACTTGTACTGTTTGGTTCCTACCCAACAGACTTTGAAATATTAAATGTTCCCAGTAATATGGTTATCTCTTGAAAACTCAGATTTTCACAGAAAGATGAACTCTCTGAAAAGAGAAATAACACTTACTGTCTGAAGATTATTTTTGATAGCTGACCAGGGATTAGGCATTTTCTATGTTTAATATATATCATCTCTAAAGTTCTAGTGTGACCACGTATGAAATGAATGTGTCTCTCACTCTGGCTGTAGTGGGCAGTAATCCACCAATGAAATTGCCTTACAGTGTGGCATTGGTCAAAAATCTCTTCTATACAGAAAAACTTAGCACAGGATGAACACAGAAAGTAAAGGAAATGCTGAGGATCATCTCAGGTAAAGACGTGTTATTAATTCTTCATTCAATCATCATATTTTTGCACAGTATTTCGTAGCTAAAAGGTGTCAAATGCAGTGTTCATGGCATTACCACGTTTATCATATATATTTTTCTTTTACATACTTTTTGGATATTTCTTATGTCAGAAAACACTTACAACTAACACTTCATTTTCTTTGTTATATTCTTTGTTTGCTCCATGCTCCCTTTGTACAACTTCTTACTTTAAATTAAGTAAGTATTTTTGGGGGCAGGGAGAATATCTTTGTGTGCAATAAGGCACCAATTTTGAATAGAGCCTTTGTGCCCTACTGCAGAAGACATAAATAATAATAAAGCCACTTTACAAACCACATAAATTGAAAGGCATAAGCATGAATTAGATGCCAATTTAAAATTAACCAAATAAAGTGACAATGCAACAAGATTCTGTCCTTTTGTCCACTCACCACAGTTCTAATGTACCCATCACCATAGTGGCCTAGCACCTACCAGCAAGAGTGTAGTTTTTATCTGAAAAAAATCTATGCAAATCCATAAGATCATCAGAGAGGTCTGGAACATGTTTAGCTAAGTACAACCTCCTAAATATCCCCCTTTTCATACAAACCCTCCCACAACTATCGAATATTTGTAAAGTACATTTATGCTTAAAGTTCTGAAACTAACCAAGATTTTGCAAAAGCAAAATATTAGATGAGTATTAGATGCCTTTTTGTTAGAAATTAAAATGACACCACTGACTTTTTTTTTTTTTTGAAGTTGAAGACCCCCATGCCTGAAAAGATGCTGCACTGAATAAACTGGTCTGAGTCCTATACCCCTAAGTAAATAAACATGTAACTTGTCTTCCTTTCAACTGCAATGGTAGAAAGGCTGACAGGGCTTCACAAAACCCTCCTGTGTTAGGGAACGGAAACTCCTAATGAGATTAGTTGGTGTGTGTGTGCAGACATTACTTAGCCATGACTAAATGGGCTCTCTTCCTGCAGCCAGTGGAAAATTCATGGAACTTTTTCCCCCTGCAGCATTAGAGTCCCTCTAACCTTCAGCAAAGCCAGATCCAAAAACAACTCTCCACTTTCTCTCCCCCCCCCCCCCCGCGAAATGTATCAAAATGGGCCAGAAGGGCTTTTGGGGAGGGGGGACCTAAGAGAGAGGGGGAGGGCAAGAGAGGAACTCTGAAGACGACAAAGGAAACTGTAAAAAGACCAAATACATAAACCTGAGAAGGAGAAAACCACAGAGTTTCTTTGTGAGCTGCAGTGACTCATTTTCAAGATGTTGTCTGCTGCCAGTTTCAAACCGGAAGCGCATGGCAATTAGTCTTGCTGTTTCCAGACAAGCCTGAAACTCTCCCGACACTTTTTTTTTTAAATCCCCCCTTTCCAGTTTCTGCAAGAACTCTCCTCCCCACACAGCCCCCTTCGCCCCTTGCAGAGGCTGCGGGGATCGGCACACACTGCCCCAGCGCCTGGGCGTGTTGACAAACACCCAGACCCCTCCCCCAGTCACTACTGTGATTATTTTAATTTTAAAAATGGCCCACGTGGCCCAGCAGCTGGGACGCCCTAGGCAGCGAGTGAATGCAAAGCGCACCCCAAAGGGCTTCCTGGGCAGTCAGTTATTGCTATCTCTGATTTATGCTCCCTCCCCAGAGAGCCCTGGCAGACAGTGGCCCCCGGCCTCTCGTCCCAGGCAGACCCTGACCCCTTTCTGCCCCCCAAACACAGACACTTCTCTCTCCCCTCGTCTTCTTCCCCTTTTAGCCAGGCAACTATTCCTCGTCTCCTCTCTCCCTTCCCCAGCCAGGCCAGGCAGTGACCCCCTGAACCCCAGTCCCCCCCCAAAAACCCCCCTTGCTCCCCCAGGCAAGGAGGACCTCCGTTCCCTCCCCCTCAGGCAAGGCAGAGACCCCCCCCCTTGCTCCCCCAGGCAAGGCAGAGACCCCCTTGCTCCCCTCAGGCAAGGCAGAGACCTCCGTTCCCTCCCCTCAGGCAAGGCAGAGACCCCCCCCCCTTTGCTCCCCTCAGGCAAGGCAGAGACAGACCCCCCCTTGCTCCCCTCAGGCAAGGCAGAGACCCCCCCCTTTGCTCCCCTCAGGCAAGGCAGAGCCCCCCTTTGCTCCCCTCAGGCAAGGCAGAGACCTCCGTTCCCTCCCCCTCAGGCAAGGCAGACACCCCCCCCCCCCCCACACACCCCCCCTTTGCTCCCCTCAGGCAAGGCAGAGACCCCCCCTTTGCTCCCCTCAGGCAAGGCAGAGACCTCCGTTCCCTCCCCTCAGGCAAGGCAGAGACCCCCCCTTTGCTCCCCCCAGACAAGGAAGAGACACCCCCCCCTTGCTCTTCTCAGGCAAGCCCCCGCCGTGCTGCCAGGTATCCCTCGCGGGGCTCCGGGCCCTGTCCCCCGAGTTACCACCAGGCATTTCTGCCTTAGAGTCAAGAGTTTGCTCTGGGTTCCCTTGCACGGACTGCCCGAGAAGCTGATGTCCCCGCACCCAGCCCGGGCCCCTTCCAGCCACATTGTCCTTTATCAGCAGATTAAAAGCCAGAAGGGAAACACTCTGTGTGGTGCCTGTGGGAAGAGCAGCCCCTTGGGCCCCGCAGCGCGGCTGCATCCACTCTCCTATTTGCCCGTCTCTTCCAGCTCGTCTGGCTCCCCTTTGCTCTCATTCCCCGCCACCTCCTCAAGTCCCCAAAACTTTGCACTACTTAGCCCAAGCTCAGAAGCACTTTTACATACCCAGAGCCTGGTGGACTTTTCCAATCTCTCCTTGTAGTTTAAAGGAAGCTGGGTAAAATCCCCTGGTTTTCCATGCTGACAGTCTTCTGCAAGCGCTCTGTTGCTCTTGTAATGAGATCCTGGTTTTTTTCTTTCTTTTTTTTTTTTTTTTTTTTCTTTCTTGGTTGGTGTGTATGTGTGTGTGAGAGCAGGAAGTTGGAGCAGTCAGACAGAGAGCCGGCTCACTTCCTTTCCTGCATTATTCCCCAGGCGGTTTGCAGTCTGTGTAAACAGGCTTTTCCTCCCCTCTCCCCTCTCTCTGGCCGCTGATGTGCAGCATTGCTGTAATATAAGACACACACATAGTAAAATGGTAACGGTAACTACACACACACACACACACACACACAAGGAGCTCCAGCAGCTCCCTCTGACCTCCACCTCTTCCTGTTCTACACCCCAGGGGAGGAGCTTCAAACAAGCTCAACAAACTGGCCCATGAACAGCCTCTACTAAGAGCATAAAGTGGCTTTGCAAAATAATCAGCTTTTCCAAAGACAGTGGCTCAGAGCTGTTAAAGATGAACACGACCATGTTAATATTATTTATTAGTAATTATTACTTCTTGTTAAGCATTAACAGTGCATTGAGCACTCTACAAGACTGCGAGAAGACACGGCGTTTGTCCCAAGGAATGTGTAATCTCCAGATTTGATCTGCAAAGCACTGAGCACCCTCAACTTCTATTGATTTCAGTGGCAGCATCACAGTATTCAGCACCTTGGAAGAGGTTGACCACTTCTCAGAACTGAACCTTAAATAGACAGACACCTCAAAATACATAAACAACACCAAACATATCTAGTGTTAAAAACAAACTGGAAAAAGACAATCAAACCATATTTAAATAATCCAAGTGTGCTCAAAATCTGGATTGAAAATCCCAAATCGGATTCTATGGTTTTTGGTTTGGCTCATTATAAAGACAGGCCATTTGTGAAATTCAGATCTGGGTTCAGATTTTGAACCCATTTGAGGATGTTCAGAACAAGGATTTTGGTTCAGACTCATCTCTATTAAAAATAATAAGCATACACCATTTGGAGTTTAAATCATCTTTCCATGTATTGCATGTGTCTTTCCTGTCCTGTCTTTTTCTGATGCTGATCGTAAACTTCTTCAGTCAGGTCCCACACCTGTAGGGTGCCAAGAACACATCAATGATACTCAGTAATTAATAATTATATATAAATTAAATAAGTACTGCCTTGTAACATCTTTTAAATAGTTAAAAGATTAAGCATTCAACCAGGGTAATTAGAGTTCAAAAATGTTCTTGACATAACATTATTTGGATGTTACATTATTTTTGCTTGCTATTTTTGGGTTATGGCTGCTATATTAATGGTTGGTAATTGGAGTCAAAGAAGCTAACAGGGAATTGTCACAGTTGCCACTGAAAATTAGTCATTAGCATCTTGACATTTAGCAATAGGCATATTGTAGATTTTTCAAGGAAAGTAGGTAAGACTCCAAATTCTGATCCCTTAATGTCCCACATACAAGAGCTTCGGGTAAGGTGAAATGTCTTCGTGCATGCACATGTAAAGGTGTCAATTGTTGAGAAATGCCTTCTGAGAACATACGGAAGTTTAGAGTATGAGCTTGGGGGTCCACTGAAATCTCATGAAGTTGATGGGGTGGAAATGATGAAATGTTGGTACAACTTTAAATAAATTACCACTTCTGGAAAAAATATGCATTGGGCATAACCTTTACTTGTTTTAAGCACTACTGTAAATTTTTAGAACATAGTAGTCAAACTTCATTTGAGAAGCATACATGAAAACATTTATGCAGGTAGATAATCAATATTAGAGTTGGGTGTGCAAGAGAGGAGTTATCATAGCACCAGCATCAGGAAGATGATTTGCTGAAGTTTGGGGGTGCCAGAATTCCTCTTCTTGAAGTTATGATATGTTTCATTCATTTCTTCTAAGATCTGGGACATGGACTTTCCAATGCTGTCCTGAATTGTTTCTTTTCCATGCTGAAGCAACAGGAGGGAACAAATTGTTTCAAAAAAGGAATTAGGTCTCTAAACAAGCAAGTGATTTATTTTCCCTTTCAAAATATTGTTCTGCCATTTAAAATATTGGTTTAAAAATTAAAGTCCTTTGTTCACCCAAATAACAGTCTAGGACAGGGCTTCTCAAACTGGGGATTGGGACCCCTCAGGGGATCACGCGGTTATTACATGGCGGGTCGCAAACTGTCAGCCTCCACCTCAAACCCCACTTCGCCTGCAGCATTTATAATGTGTTTCTAAATATATTTAAAAGTGTTTTTAATGTATAAGGGGGCGGGGTCGCACTCAGAAGCTTGCTGTGTGAAAGGGGTCAGAATTACAAAAGTCTGAGAATCCCTGGTCTAGGAAGTCTAGATAAAGACTCCAGGCTGAGAGAAAGATGTCATTGGACACTATGTGGCATCTTGAAGCTAACCTGTGAAATGTGGAGACAAAAGTGTGGGACTTTTTTATTTATTGAAAAAAAGTGATCATGATTTGTTTGAAGCACAGAGATTTGAGGAAGTTCTGTGGGCAGTGGAAAAACTCTGAGGTTTTAGACAGTGTCATTGACACAAATAATACAGATAGATATTTGTTGGAGAAAAATCTTTTTTGAAAAGATTTGTATGTGCTCCCTACAAACATTGTGCTGTAAAGGACTTTGATTAGAAGGAAACTTTTTATCTTGTGTGGATGATAGCAAAATTAATCTATCCCCCTGATTACCCTGAAACAGTGGTGGGCAAACTACAGCCCACAGGCTAGATCCAGCCCACCAGCCATTCTAAGCCAGCCCTTGACCTCCCACTGGGGAGCAGGGTTTGGGGCTTGCCCTGCTCCAGCACTCCAGCCAGGAAGCAGGGTCGGGGGCCATTCCACGCAGCTCCTGGAAACAGTGGTATGGCCCCCCTCTGGCTCCTACACGCTCCAATGGCCCTGCTCCAATGGCCCCACTCCAATGGCCCCTCCGGCACTCCAATGGGAGCTTTAGGGGCGATGCTTGCGGATGAGGCAGCATGCAGAGCCACCTGGTCGCACCTCCGCATAGGAGCCGGAGAAGGGACATGCCACAGCTTCCGGGAGCCACTTGAGGTAAGCACCGCCCAGAGCCTGCACCCCTGAGCCTCTCCCCACACCCCAACCCTCTGTCTCAGCCCTGATCCCTCTCCCACCCTTTGAATCCTCGATCCCAGCCCGGAGGCCCATCCTGCACCCCAAACCCCTCATCCCCAGCCCCACCCCAGAGCCTGTACCCCTTCCCGCACCCCAACCCCCTGCCCCAGCCCTGATCCCCCTCCCACACACCGAACCCCTTGGTCCCAGCTCAGAGCACCCTCCTACACCTTGAACTCCTCATTCCCAGCCTCACTCCAGAGCCCAAACCCCCAGCCCAGAGCCCCCTCCTACACCCCACTCCCCTGCCCTAGCCCAGAGCCCCGTCCCGCACCCTGAACTCCTCATTTCTGGCCCCATCCCATCCCAGAGCCCGCACCCCCAACCAGAGCCCTCACGCCCTCCCTCACCCAACCCCAATTTTGTGAACATTCATGGCTCGCCGTACAATTTCTGTTCCCAGATATGGCCCTCAGGCCTAAAAGTTTGCCCACCCCTGCTCTAAAACATTGATTCACAAGTAAAATATGGTGAATGAGGGAAGACGTTTATTATGCTATAGAAGGCTTGGTCTGGTATAAAAGTAGTTGCCTAGAGAAAGGGGTCCTGATGGTGCAGGTTTAAAAATACTAGCGATGGACTAGTGCAACCCACTGTCAGTGTGTGTTGCGTGTCTCCATTTGTACCTGATCCACAGGAGCTGTGTCTTCACCGCTAACAACAAAACCTCGCTCTTTACTTCAAGCTGTAGAGATTCATTCTTTCCTCTCTGGAGTTCCTGGTTCAGGGTTCAGTGTTGACCTAGATGGCAGCTGTCACACTAGCAAGGGAGTAGACTGTAACTAGTGACTAGCTCCATTGCAACTGAGTGAGACATAATACTGCTATATGCTATTGGTGATCTGCCAGCTGGAATGCCCAACCTGATGGGGTGGAGTGAACCCAGGCAAAGTATATGCACCCCAGATGTCTCTTAAGTCCCTTTTGTCTAAAGACAATCAAACTTGTGCAAGAAGCCAACTGTGTAAAGCAGCCCTCCCCCTCCCCCCCGGCCCTGTAGTAAGAGTTTTCCCTAATGCAGCCCCAAATGTACAATGTATAATTCTTCCTCTTTTTTATTAGACATCTTAATTAAGCAACCAATTTGTGTCTGTCCCTTAAGACAGATTTTACTGTGTTTTTAAAGTTGACTATAAATCTTGTGCATTCCTGTAAGCACCCAATCCCTTATTTATATACTAAAGTTCAGGCCAGTTTTACTGTGATTCTGTTCTCCATTTAAACTCTTCAAGGATCGTGTCTAGTTCTGTGTTGGTACAGGACCTAGCACAATTTTGCTCTGATCTCTGGACACTATAAGCGTGTTTTTTTCTTAAATCTATCATGATGACTATAAAAATAGCTAATTAATAAGGGCTAGGTTGCAGGCAGATGAGGATAGTTGTCAATTTATTTATAATAGTTTTATAAATGCAAATATATATAAAAAATCATATATATATATATATTGTATCCCTTCCCCTTCCCCATATTTTGCGTTCAGTTGTCTTCTTAGATTGCAATTTTTGTGGTGCAGGGTCAGTTATTTTGTACTTGCTTGTGTAGCACCTAGGCCAATGGTTCTACAGTAATATAAATATTAAATAATAATACATCTTTTTATGTAATTCTAACTTGAACAAGTACCTTCCTGGTTACTGGGGTATCCTGGTTACTGGGGTATCCAAGAGGTTTTGGACTATAGGCAAGTAGAATGTAATTACCCAAGTTGGAATGATGATCTAATTTATCTTGGGTTTTGTGCCACACCTGTCATTGTAATATCTGAATGCCTGACAAGTTGCATCAATAGTAATGAATGGTCCACCAACAGACCTGGGTTTTCTCTTCTCTCCCTCTTTCCTGTAGCTGGACATATCTGAGCTCCAAAGCCAGCAACATTGGTCTTGCCAAAAAATCCCATGAGGTCTTTATTGCTCACAAGTGTCCAGGACCTCAGTTTTATACATCGTTTTAAAGCAATGAAAGTACCACCTACAGTACCTCAAAGGTAAAGCATTGGTTCTATATACATGTTGTTTCAAAAGGACTGATTATATGCTGTTCCCATTGGAGTGTTATTTCTGTCTGGGCATTCTGCTGAGCTGTAGAGGATCTTGCAGAGCAGACTTAAGTAGAACTGCAACTCCTCGACTAACAACTAGTTGTCTTAATTAAAATAAAGTTAAACTGCTGGACCACATTCTCAGGGACA